CAAAAATCGCAAACCTTGCAAAAAATCCTTGACGCTTCCATTATCGACTTGTATTTTAGATTTTAGCTGAACCATAGATTAACGTATTCTACCAGGTGGCTAAACATAAAAAACAGGCAAAATAGTAAGTAAGAAAGTGCATGACAAACTGTATGCAAGACATGAGTTACACTGAGAAATAATTCAGAAGCCATTACTTACAGGCAAGTCAATTCCCATTGATCTTGGCCTTGCAGTTGTGTAAGATACATTACTCTACCGAAAAAGAAGTAATAATGTTAACTAAACGTAACGAAAATAGATAATTAACTGTGCAACTATAATACCACACTTAAATTTTGAGCATGATTAATGACATACCATAAATGTTGTTAAAATAAAGCTATACAGGGTGTCCCGAGAAAAGTGTGCAATATTCTACCAGCGGTTTCTAGAGCTACGCCCTATGGGCGCTACGGTCTTTTAAAGGGGCTCCCCTGAAGATGGTTTTTCCTTACCTAATATTTCCGAAACGTGTTGAGATAAAGACATAAAATTTGGTATTCTAGCCTAGTTTTTTATGCTGGATTTAAAACTATTAACAATTTTAGACAGTTTTGTTTGGAAGCGTATGTAACAGGGACCGACTCAGGTTATTTTAGCCCCAAAAGTTCTGCGTGATTCTATTTTTGAAATTCAATTTTAGAATTTGAAAGTTTAGGGTTTTCTACATAAAAAAAGGTACTCTTATTGAATATCTATAAATTGTGCCATTTTTGAATAAAATCAAACTAAAAAATTTGTCACTTGATAGGAAATGTACTGCGAATTTCAATGAATTGTTGATTATACATAGTTAGCCAAACACGTCGGTTTCTTCTGCGCATGCTCCTGATAGTTCTAGAACAGTAATGATAAAAACCCGAAAAAACCTAATGTGAACTGATATTTTCTTCTTTTCAGTTCTGCATTGCAAGATCCAATACGCCTTTTCGTATTCGCAGTGTATTTACAAACACGGTTTTACAAACTTGTATCTTTTAACTGGTAAGCAAAAATGTTGACAAAATTCGACATTGTTAAGTCTGTTCTAATTCAGAAGAAATCGCTTATCTGGCACTACAGTCACTCGCTGTTTAACATACAGCTGCTCCTACTTTGAAAGAGTCACCCATATGTCGAATATTACTGAAATGAAAAATGAAGTGCAAAGTTTGTAGCATGTGAGAGCAGAATTATACACATAACAGGTTTATGATACTCCCAGACTAATTAGTCGGAGGTATTATACTGATTCTACGCTTAATACTTTTCGCACAAAGCTGGGTAAACAAAACCTACCGATGAAATCAAATCCCGTCAAATTATGCCGTATTTGCAATGCCCTTTATGCCGAATAGACATTAAATACGCTCTGCACATTAGAGAGCTTTAGTAATCCAATTTTTTGTTGCTGTGCGCCGTGTATGTAATAAGCGTTAATTTGGAAGGCGATATGTGATTGTTAATATACAAACCGGGTATACTACGTTGGCATTGCGTCTCCAAAATTAATCATATATCCGTTGTTCGTTAGTGTATGGATATAATGGAGTAGTCCGCCTTTGCGCAGTACCCGAAATGGTGCTGTCCGTAGAGGATGGATGTTTTGCGAGTGTTTCCGAGATGGAGGATGGATGCTGGTTTTGTAATTATCCCGAAGCCTCTAAAACCCACACATAAGGAAGTTAAATATAGACCTCTGTGTATGTTAAGTTCACAGTTCATCCGCGCACCCACTTCTGACGTTCCACACAAACTTTAAATCGATCTAAAAAACTACATGCACCTCCGAACTTGACATTCTATTGTGTGACGTACATACTTCAAAAATTAAAATAAAGTAAGCTCAAAATTATTTTCAGAGACTCGTAGAGCAAGTTTTTAAATTTAACTTTAATGGACAGACATTTATGTTTTGAGAATAAGATCACAACTTAGATAATCAAAGCTTTATTTCAATAAATGTTCAAAAAGACCACCATTCTGACGGATATGTAATATACGAGGACAAGTGCGGCACCTTTATAATAAACCAAAACGTATTTCCGCAAAATTTGTGTTGGCTTGAATTTGATGAAACGCATTATCTATTCTTTCTTGTAACTGATCAACAGTATTAATTTGTTTATTATACACTAGTTGTTTAAAAGCGCCCCACAAATGAAATCCAGGGGGTTCAAATCAGGAGACCTCGCAGGCCAATGTACGGGTCCGTTTCTGCCAATCCATCGTTGTCCAAAATGATTATTTGACCATGGGGCTATGTCACGACGAACATGTGGTGAGTCAGCGTCGTGCTGATACCACATTCGTACTCTCGTTGCTAACTGAACGTCATCTAACACATCTTCTACGTAATTTTCTAGAAAAGCTAAGTATGAGTTTGCATTTAAACATTCTGGCAATACCTGTATAAACAGTTGGCCATTAAAAATGCTGCACCAGACATTTCTAGAAAATCTGTATTGGGTAGGTTCTTATAGAATGGAAATTTTCTAACGACCAAATATGTTCATTATGAGAATTAAACGTTCCACTCCTCGTAGAAAACGATTCATCTGACCACCCTTGGCGTCTGTTAGGAAATCTACGTTGATACTCCCAAGAGGCCACTAAGACATTTCCATTACAGAACCTGTACACAAAAATAACATCGGCGTACTCATCATTGCTATATTCCATTTCAAAAGACTCAAAAATGGAAAACGGAAACGTCTAGTTTGTATCAAGGCCTACTATTTTATTTTGAAGCCTATTGTATCTTGGTTCTTCATGAATGATCTAACTTGTTTTATTTTTATTTTTACGAAAACAGTGCACTCTAGGACAAAACACAGGAGTAATTATTTGTAGCAATTTGGGGGTAAACTTCCAAAAATTACGCGTATCGAAAAAAAACAATGACGTACTATTTTTATTTGGAAAAATAATTCCACTAATCCCCTGTATCTCCACCACTGGTGCACTTTAATTCTAAGTAATGACTTTTGAATGTGGACAATACTTACGTAAATCGACATACCAAATTTTAGTTAATTCCAGTTGACGGTTTTGAAGGTATTAAAAAAAAAAAATCAAATTTTTAAACTTTTTAAACACCCCGTATCTTATCAATGAAGCCCCCTCGAGGAAAAAATGTTACTAGAAGACCCCCCCCTTGAAATGCGTCCTGAGTATGTTATTTTATTTTTGGTCACGACTTGTATCACCCTGCAAGTAACACCTGAAACTTATACTGTGGTTGTCACGCTGATATTATTAATTTTTTTCTGTCCGTCAAATGAAATCTTATATGCTGGAAATACTGTTTACTGATACAGCGTTTCCACCACCACAGTGCTGTATTATAGCCTTTGTAGATAGCTTTCAAATCTTTAAAAAATTCATACATTTACTTGCTTTTCATCAAGGACATTTTAACATCTTGCGTTAATACAAAACAATTCAGTTTTTCGATACCCATACAGCCATATAATTGAATATTTTTCGGTTTTCAGACAGCCAACCCTGAAGTAATTATGTGTAACCATTCACATCATATTTAGAGCAATCGAAAGACAAATATTTGTCGTAAAGTAGAAAGAAGGCATGATACTTGCTAAAAACTACAATTTTCAATTATACATAAATACACCGAGTAAGGAATAGATGTTCCTATAAAATAAAACATAGTGTTGTGAATATGTTTTCAATAAGTATTTGTGCACGTGCCTTTTTGATTAGATTACATACTCTGATAGAAGAAAGGTAGGATGTTTCTTACACACTTACACTTCTTATTTAATTTGCAATGCATTTCTTTTTCATTTTGTTTCTGATTCCAGATTTATTAGTAAATATTAGAATAATTATTTCGTATATGTTTTTGCCTACAGTATTTACCACGAGGATGCGTAAATTAAATTCATTTAGTAAATATCGGTGTCGTAACGTGAAATAGCCGGCAAGAGAGGCAGGTAACTTAATTGCTTGACAATTTATAACGGTCTATTTTTTTACCTACTTATAAGCCAATTTTGTCTGCAGATCAGTATGAGCATTAATTCTAATGGTCCATCTGAAGCAGAATAACAGCATATAATAAAGATAATACCGCATATGAATGGAATATCTCATCACTACCAGCACTAATGATATTCGACAATAGACGACATCGGTGTCTTAGGGTGCAGGAAGGCAGGACAAATTATTTGTTTGCATGAGAGGTGTCGAAGAAATTTAATAAATGCCTCTGTAATAAATGATGAGGAATTGGTTGGAATAAGTTTTATTTCCTCATTTTGCAAAACAAAGCAAATCCTAGCATTTACAGAGATGCGTGTAATTTATTCTATTGTTTATTGTACGACGTTTTTACCACCATTGTGATTCTTTTGACGTACAATACGTACAATTGACATCTATGACATTTGACATTTCCATACATTATAACAATAGTCACCTCGCAAAACCAGCAAAGTTTAAGAGAAGTCTTAGGAGTTACATATATGTAAATGTGTAAACACCATTCAGAAAAAATAAATTCAAGATTGTCATACATCAGCAGACCGTCTAAAACAGTAAAACTATGGTAGTTAAAATACTTGTAACAGGTAGTAATGCACCCTATTATTTTTCTATTTTGATTGGTGGCATCTATAAAACTGTCAAGAAATAGCCGATTCTATGGATGTTGTCCTGTTTTCTTTTTATGTTCAAATACATAATTTTACATTCAGAAGGTATTTATAATACAATCACAACCACGAGTCTATTAAAAATTCCATTAGAAATCCTTGATATTTGACATGTTTGAATAAAAATTCCCTAATTGACTGAACTGTGGGTCAAAATTCATTGTACGTGAAATTGGCGGTAAAGTAATTATTTCTCTTTCAAAATAAAAAGCAGGACTAGAAAGAACGGCATGACTGAAAATTTATGTGCCTCGTGGATTTATGGTAATCAATAAGAAGTCGATTGATGTACCACTTTTAAAGGTGAAAGTTGAAACATTATAAAATTGTATCCTCAGTATTTCATTAAAACACTACCTGACAATCTTCATAATAGACGCAGCATATTTTAAACCTGCTCCAGCTGAAATTAATATTTCTTCCAGGAAAACTTCTGCAAGCTTCATTAGAGCGAGCTGGTGTTGAGACGCTGGAAAGTATATTCGTTAAAAAGTGTACTTTGAATAACATTCTTGTTGTCTTTTTCTTTCAGTGGAGATAAAAGTGGAAGCAGGACTTCAATATGAACAGTGCCTACCTTGGAATTAGAATTAAAGCACATCCTCCAAAGAGCATGATGGTGGCGCTGGAAAAGGCTAAGTAAATAAAGAGTTAGACATTTCTTCGTGTGTCAAGATGCCTTTTTTTACTTGAAAACCTTAATCGAAAAACTTTACACACATCGACTGACATTCAAATCGGTCAGACAAACATCTGAAGAAAATCGGTAGCTTTACTATACATAGTTAGCTGGTTATCGAAATGTAAAATGCAAAATCGACAAAGGGCATACTAGATGAACAATGACCAGTTAATATTTACATTTATTTGATACTGTGACCAATTTTCGTTCAGTCGTGGACTGGTAAGTAGTAGGACCACGAGTCTCGATCTCGATTGAAACGGGTCGAGATATGGTCGATAATCGAGTAAGAATACAGGGTTTGTCCGGAAAGCAATAGGACTGAGTCGATTTAAAAATATTTATTGAGGCAATCGTTACAGTTCTTTAAAAACTTTCAAAATAGGTTCCTTCTGCGTCGATGCAGCGCGGCCAGCGCGATTTCCAAGCATTGAAGGCGTTAGGGAAGGCATTCTCCGGAGTAGCCTTGAGAGCCGCGGTGCATGCTGCTTGTATCCCCTCTGTCGTCTCAAAATGCTTGCCTTTCATCGGCCTTTTCAGACGAGGAAACAAAAAACAGTCCGGGGGGGCCACATCTGAGCTGTAGAGCGGCTGCGGAAGCGTTGGGATGCCGCCCTTGGTCAGGTAGCTGTTCACAAGAAAGGCGGCGTGAGCCGGGGCGTTGTCGTGGTGCAACTGCCAGTCGGCTGCGATGTCCGGTCGGACCCGACTGACCTTTCGTTTGTGTCTCCTGAGCACTTCCACGTAAAACTTGGCGTTGACGGTTTGTCCAGGAGGAACAAATTCATGGTGGATGATGCCTTTGATGTCAAAAAAGACAATGAGCATCGTTTTTACTTTGGATTTGCTCATTCTTCCCTTTTTTGGGCGAGGAGACGCCGTCGTGTGCCACTCGGAAGATTGCCTCTTTGTCTCGGGATCATACTCAAAGATCCACGACTCGTCACCTATGATTACGTTATTCAAAAATTGAGGGTCACTTTCACACATGTTCAAATGATGTGTCACAATGTCATGAACCACAGATTTTGGTAAATTTAACATCTGGGCAATTAAACGAATACTTAGTCGACGGTCTGAGTTCAAAACTTTGCGCACACGAGTCACATTATTGGTTTTTGTCGTAGTCGATGGTCTTCCAGCACGGTCTTCATCAGCTACCTCTTCCCAACCCTCCAAAAAGGCCTGGTGCCACCGAAACACACCACTTCTTGCTAAAGCAACACCTGGGTAAGCCTGCTTGATCTTATCAAACGTCTCTGTCGCAGATTTACCGAGTTCCACACAGAATTTAGTCGCGTACCTCTGCTCTACCGAACGCTGCATTTTCGGCTTTCACCACTCACAGAAACACGTCGCGCGAAAATGCCTGTCCTGACTCTCCAAGTGCTCGGAGACAACTGACCTGCCGCTCATTCGTTAGCTAGGAACGCCCTCTACCGAATCCAGTCGGTGCGCGCACGCTCCGAGGTACAGTCATGGCGGAAGAAAATGAGTCCTATTACTTTTCGGACAAACCCTGTATGTTCACGATAATCGTATTATCCACTCGACTCTATCAAACTTATTCAACAGGTTACAAGCTATCAAATACAATTTTCCGCTGTTTGATAGATTATCTCTTTATTATTATTCATCATTTTTAATGAGAAAATTGTTTACTTTTGGTAAATATACCATGCTTCCAATTGTGCGGGAAAGTCTGTTAACTTACATACAATGCAGAAAAATATCAGGCTTCTTCAAGATCGACAACATCTAATGACACATGAAAATCCTTCGTCTTAGTAAAACTATGGCCAGGGAATTAATTACTTTGGTAAGACCACATATCCAAGAACGAGAAAATGTGAGAGGAATCGAGAGAGAAATTATGGTGTTGCGCTCTCCAATTGTATGCAACAGGCTCGTATCGAAGGTGTATAGGGGATAATATAACCTTGGTTGGCATATAGTACTCCACATAAGTATCTGTATACCAGGCTAGATAATAATTAAACCGAAAGGAATTTCGAATCTGACCTATTTTCGTCTTCTCCTTTAGTGAAAAAATGTCAGTGTCAGGCGCATGCTCATCAAAACCTGTCAACAACCAGTCGTACTTTTTGATTCTCTATGCGATCAATTATCGTGACCAAATCTATCGACCGTATCGTCGATTCTTCTATTCAGTCTAGTCGAGAAACGTGATCTCTGTACAGTGATAACAGCTGATCATGACACAAATTGCACTGCAATTACGTGTGAAGCAGGAACGCTTGCCACTCTATACGGCTTTGGAAGCGATCGGGAACTAACTACCTCCTGCATGAATTTCAAAATCATCTCTCGGACAAATTTTTTTCTTTCGTATATGGCAGGCAGGTAGGTGCATAGATCGATGCTATAACTATAAGACTCGTAGGGGAAAATACGTATGGGTGGCGATATCAGTGTAGTCACTTTGATACAGAAATAGCTTACGTCAAAAAAAAAGCAATGCAAACAGAACATCACTAGTCTAATATAGGTCAAACCTAACATGGACTGTTTTGACATATAACAGCAAGCAATATCAATAGATTTCGATTATTCTAGGGAAAACCGCATCAATATCGAGAAACTCAGAAGTATGTTTTATTGGATGCAAGCTGATCTTTTAAAAAAAAAAATTACATCTTAATATAACGCTTAGGCTTTTAGTGCTTAACCGTGATATTTTTGACGGAGTGGAAGCGTGGACCTTGACAGAAATAAGCAGTAAGAAAATGACAGCATTCAAAATATGGTGCTATCGGAGAATATTGCTTACTTCATACAGAGTGTCCAATAAGTACCACGACAAACTTAAGGAGAAGTTAGGCTTTCGACTGACCTCCCAAATAACAAAAACTTACCTATTTAAAAGTGTCACCGTTTTTGAGATATTGAATTTTTTCTCAAACTTAAAAAAAAACGAACCTTTTCATCTATGGTCTTTAGCTGCATGTGCAAATAAGGTTATACTTCTTTCATTTTTTTTCTATAAAAGACTTCTAGATAGTTGCTTAATCATATACAAATGCAATGTAGTTAAAAGGTATTAAGGAACCAGGATCAAATAATGACTATTTTGGGATTTATAACCTTCTGATATCTTTTCCTCAACTTTGACCATCTGAGGTGAAACAAAAATGTACTGGGCTATAACTGCATTATATTGAATAAAAAGATTGCTCATTGAATACAGATTTCAGAAAGGCACCACACGTTTTATTTGGAATAGAAAAAAGTGATAGCTGCTTTTGTAAGTGACTGACACACACTACAATGTAATTATTGGATTTAAATGCAAGTTACACTGGTTACCGATCAGTGACATGCTAAATAGTACATAGCTATATTATTATTACCTGCTCCTAATATGATTTTATGAAACTGAAATTCGGACTCGAGTCAGTAACAATACAAAAGAATTATTTTTTATCATGGTTCCTTAATATCTTCTAACTACATATATTGCATATAGTTTATAGAAAAAATGAACAAAGTATAACCTTATTTGTTCATTCAGCTATAGACCACAGATGAAAAGGTTCGTCTTTTAAATTTATGAAAAAATTCAATATCTCAAAAACGGTGACACTTTTTATGTAGGTAAGCTTTTGTTATTTGAGAGTTTAGTCCAAAGCCTACCTTCTCCTTAAGTTTATCGTGGTACCTATTGGGTATAATAACCAAGCACCATATAATTGTTTTGCAAAAGATAGAACAAGGCGTAAAACTGATCTGCAAAGCGAAACAAAACTAACTTACTTTGGTAACGTAGCCTGGAATCATGAATATCACATGCTTCATGATTTAATGCAGTGCAAACTAAAGGAGACGACGATTCTTGAAGGTATTCAGAGCATCTGTCAAAACACTTGTGTGGACCACTGCTCGACTCATATCCAGTAATGACTCAGAGCACTGCCCACCTTAATGAATTCATTTGATTTGATCGTAAGAGGAATACAAAAAACTGACCAAAGTGTCACTTCAATTTGCTTTTAACGGAAATGTCAAACAGAAGCGTTTGTTCATCATTCCACTGAAATTCAGTATTACATTAAAGTACCTCTTGACATTTATAATAGACGCATATTTTAAACCAACTTCAGTTGAAATTAATGTTCCTTGCAGGAAAACTGCAAGCTTCATTAGGGCGAGCTGGTGCTGAGATGCCGGAAATTATATTCGTTAAAAAGTGTACAATGAAAAATGTTTTTGTTGGTTTTTGCAATAGACGTGAAAGCACCAGCAGAGCTCCGATATGAACAATAGCTTTGAAATAGAACCGAAATCTCAATTCCTTCTTCAAACGGCATGGGTCATTAGTACTGCTACTGGGTAATTGCAGATAAACGGACTGTCTCCATATTCTAATAGATTGGATGACAATAATTTATTCTGTTTTTATACAAAAGTCTTAATTTTTAAAGGAAACAAAAAATCTCACATACAGCTAATAAAACGAATAAAGTAAATCAAAGATAAACACAAAATAACACAACAGTGATCAAGAATCAAGGATCAAAGTCATTATTTGAAAGGTCAAATATACTATAAATATTGTTAGCAGTTTTTCTAAAATTACTTGCCTTGAGTGTTTGACAGGACCTGGGCAAAACATTCAAAAACTGACTGGCATTGTGGCAGTATATTGAATTTATTTAAATGCGAGTTTATCTGACACGTCACTATTTTTTCTAGAATTTTTGATAATACTGGTAGAACTAAAATATGTCTAAGGTCCGATAACACAGTCATATTTTCTTCTTGGGAATTGGAATAACTTTTAATGTTTTCCATGTATAAGCGAAAACTCTACTCCGATAGCACGAAATGTTCGTTAAAGATTTATTCAATAATCAATAATATTTTTAACTTACATAAATATTTGTTATCTTAAACAACTATTTAATGAATATTTGGAATATAATACTTTTA